ACCGGATGAATGAAGTGAAACAGTGTCGAACCATGTAAATCAATCAGATGAGAGAAGTGAAACAGTGTCGAATCATGAAACAATAGGAAGAGAGAAGTAACCCATTGAAGCAACGGTAAGAGAGAAGCGGCCCAGTGAAGCAACAGGTATATCTCGCGTGTGCGGTGACTGACTGACGGACTGACTGCGCGGTGTTCCATTCCTCGTTGGATTATAGAGCTCAATATCAAGCGTGACGACCTTGGACTGTGGTGCACGTGTGTGTGTGTGTGTGTGTGTGTGTGTGTGTGTGTGTGTGTGTGTGTGTGTAGAACAGGTCTGGTAGTCACTAATTGTACAAGGTGAGAATAAAACCCAGTATCTTCCTTCCTCCAACACACGCACGCACGCACACCCCAAGACCCTCATAACTACGGGAGAATAAAACATATACAAATTATGTTGGGTTTAAGAGTAATAACTTTATTGGCCAAATACTTGACTACAACATAATATTCTACATGGATCTATTAATGGCTTTTATTAACGTCACTGCAATGTGACAGGTCTTTGTTTACAGGTTGTAGAAGACCGTAAAGGACCGATCTATCTATGTTCACTACACCTCGATTACCTCGTGTCCTGTGACCAAATTCACCAAGCCTTTCTTTTCCACCCTCTTATCGTGCTTTGAATTCCTGTAGTGTATATATATATTTAAGACAGGACAAAATGTGGTCAGTCGCCTGGAGAGTTTGGGTATGTGAACTTTAATTTCCTGTAGCGTCACCTCTCATAGACAGGTCCTGGCAGCTCCTAACACACACACAAAAACTTCCCCGCCATGTTGCTATCATCACGCTGGGTGGACTGTCAACTGGATAGATAAACACCAGGATTGATAGACAGCCAGATCTTTATAGACAAACGTATGGATAGACGGGAATAGACAGATAGACTCACATAAAGATACACCCAGACCAGCCACCTCTAGACTCCAAGAAATATAGAATGTGTTCTCGTATCACTCTGGTGAATGTGTCAAGAGAATTTATACGTGGCAGATTCGTGTACGAGTCGAGTGATTACTGATCTTAATGAGGACATGTCTCAGGTGATATTTACCAATGAACTACACCTGTGCTGACACCTGCGGCTACCTGTGTATTACTAGGCCAGGTTGAGGCGTTCTCTCATTCACACACACACACACACACACACACACACACACACACACACACACACACACACACACACACACACCTCATCATGCAACAATGCAACTTCCTGTGTCTGGACTACCTCCCTCATTATACCGCCCTTAACACCTGTTAATTAGACGCTCTGGGAGGTCAGCTCATTATACGCCAAGATAATTAGATGATTAAGCACCTCTCGCTTACCTAAGTAACTAATTCATAAGGTGGACTTGGGGAGCTTAAGGACAGGTGAGTGAGTCCGGTGAGTCAGTCCGGTGAGTCAGTCCGGTGAGTGAGTCAGGTGAGGAAGTCGTGTCCCATACTGAGGTGCGGTGGCTACTTATCTCCGTGTGAAGAACAGGTTAAGTATACGAGGCTTATCCCTGAGTACAATATCATCGTACTATGGTGTCAGGTTATCGTATCCTCAAAGGGGTTAAAGTCATCATATTCTAACGGATGATCACATTGTAGACGAGAGATTGTCATCATATTCAAAGGGTTTAAGACATTGTACTCAAGGATTAAGTCATCATAATCATACACTATACTCAGGGTGGCATCGGACTCAAGAGGTTAAGATATCTTCACCAATAGAATTCACTGTACTCAGGGGTGGCATCGTACTCAAGAGATTAAAATACCTTCACCAATGGATTCACATCACTCAAGTAAGGCATCGTACTAAGAGGCGAAACAACACAGTCACACGAAAATAGTACCCAAAAATTACGGTCCTTGACTACTTAAAAGATAAGCTAGTGAAGAAGAAAGAAGAAAGAAGGAAGAAGAAGATGAAAAAGAAGAAGAAAAAGTTCAATAAAAATAAACAAACAAAAAACACGCCAAAATCTTACCACCTGTTGCAAATTTTCAGGACAACTAATTACCTTAGAGAAGAAAATACAAGATACATGAAGAAAAAACAAATATTAGGACTATTTCACCCTCAAAATAGTAGAGAAATGTCGTGGTTTAAAACTGTGAATTTGTGCATGTATAAACCCCTTGACGTCGTGGTTTATGACATTAGACTGACATGTCATGCTCCGACAGGGTCATACAAGATTATATGAGTCATAACACCCCTGTCTGACCGACATACTGACGTGACCAAGTTCAATGAAGGTAGAGCCCAGGTGACTCTAGGGGGAGGGAAAGGAGAGAGGGAGAGAGGGGAGAGAGGGAGGGAGGGAGAGGGGGGACAGAGGGAGGGGAGAGGGGGACAAAGGGAGGGAGGGAGAGAGGGAGGAAGGAGAGGGGCAAAGGGAGGGAGGGCGGGGAGAGGGGAGAGAGGGGAAGGGATGTAAGAAGGATGATGAAAAGGATGGAGGAATGTAAGGTATACAGCAGAAGGAAATAGGGAAGAAGGGTGGTAGGAAGGGGAAGGAAGATAGTGTGAGAGTGTAGGAAGGAGGGGTAGGGAGGAGAAGGTGTGGGAGAGGGTAAGGGAGGATGTGGGGGTGATGTAGGGAGGGGTGGGAGGGAAGGAGTGAGTGGGTGTGAGGGAGAGGGAATAAGGGTCGTGTCACTGCAAAGGTTATGGAAAGTCAACGTGCGACGAGTAAGTAGGTAGATAGGTAAGTAGTCACGTACGGGTAGGTAGGTAGGGTAGGCAGGTAGGGTAGACAGGGTAGTTACGGTAGACAGGGTAGTTACGGTAGACAGGGCAGGTAGGGTAGACAGGGCAGGTAGGGTAGATGGGTAGTTAGGTAGACAGGGCAGGTTGGCAAAGTAAAAACTAGGAGAACGAAGCAACAGCAAACACACACACACACACACACACACACACACACACACACACACACACACACACACACACACACACACAACTCACTGGTCCGCCTCTGCAGCCACCATCATCATTATCATCTTAGAACACCATAAACAAGTCTGCTGGCCACCTAACATAGCCACTCTCCTCCTCACGGTCAAAATATATCTACCTTATTCCCTCACCACCATCGTAAGACATAATATTAAACTATAAACCTCTCACAATGTCTAAATTACCTTAGCCAATGAGGCATAATCCTTGTATTTGTCTGATATATTTTGAACAAGACAAGACAGAGGAGGGGGGTGGGGGGTGGTTAGGAGGGGTGGGGGGTGGTTGTGAGGGGTGGGGGGGTGTGGGAGGGGTGGGGGGGTGGTTGTGAGGGGTGGGGGGTGTGGGGGAGGGGAGATGGCTTGTAGATGATAATGATAAGTATTATGGTCTCTGGATATATGTACACAGGTGTTTTATCATTAAGGAACTTGTAATTAGTTTATTTGAAGGTTTAGTTTATGAGTATGGTCAGTATGCTGAGGGGAATTATGCAGGTGAGGTTAGGAGACAAGAATTTATTTCTGGGGGTTTTTTTTCCGTGTGTGGTTTCAGGTTGACATTCAAGGATTTTGTAAAATGATTCACTTTCAAGCACTCTCACTCTTAAATTCGCTCTGCTCTTATTCATTCATTTATTCAATCACTTTCTCACCCATTCATTTATTAACTCTCATTCATTCTGTTCACTTACTTTTATTAATCTCATTCATTCATTTACTCTCTCTTCACTCATTCATTTATTAATTCATTCATTCATTACTATCTATCTATCCTCACCTCACTCACCACCATTCATTCATCCACTCTCTCTTATTCATTCATTCATTCATTCAATCTCTCACACAAGTCTCCAACCTTCATACATAAAAACAGTTTAAATATATCACATAAGATCACCATCAAAATTGCCATAAAATAAAAGTTTCAAAATTTACACCAAAAATCAGCTTTAATAAATTCTCAAACACGATAAACTATAGAAACATACGAATTTATACACCGATAATCACTCCTTCAACAGCACACAATCTCTGTCCTTTTCCCTTTCTCTATTCCTATCCCTTCCCTTAAAACTTACCCCTTTCTCTCATCCTCCCTCCCTCCCTTCTCATCATCTGTATCCCTCCCCTTCTTTCTCTTTTTTCCTCTCCCCATACTTTACTCCCATTCTCTCCTCTCCATCCACCTTTTCTTCCTTCTCCTCACCCTTCCTTCCATCCCCATCCCCCTACCATCTCCTCTCTCCCTCCCACCATCCCCACCCCATTCATTCCTCCCCCTTGGTCCCCTTCCTCCTCTAATCCCTTCCTCCTCACCTCCCATCCCTTCCTCCCCTTCCTATTCTCCCTCTCACTTACCTTCCCTCCCTCCTCTTTTTTCTTTCCCTCTTCCTTTACACAAACTTGAAGCTTCAATATCCTCTAGAGAGAATAACACCAAGGATAACCACATTAACCAACGCTATCAATGGCGTTCGGTTACCAACTCCAACAATGAGGAGGGAGGAGGAGGGAAGGAGAGTAAGTTGGTTTCAAAACAAACCTCCCATTATCTACAACTTTAACGCATAATACTACTTCCAAACACACGAGAGAGAGAGAGAGAGAGAGAGAGAGAGAGAGAGAGAGAGAGAGAGAGAGAGAGAGAGGTTGACGTATTTTTATACAGGGCTCGTAACCTCACAACACAAGAGGATGGTGGCGTTCCTTAGGATGTATAATCCTCGGCATTTGTTTTTCACTTCACCTTAACAATTCTTTTTCCTCTGATATACAAGGTATAGCCGAAAATGAGAGCGAAATATGTTTTTTTCTTCCTTCATTCAGTTATTCATTCAGTAATATTTGAAACCCCTTCATTCATTGTTATTCATTCAGTTGTTCAAGTCTCACAGGTGTATTATTAGGATTTCCATCGACAACAAGGTTACCAATATCAATCTGGTTTAACCTGAGATAATCTCTACCATCGCAAAAATTATCACCACAAAGGATTATCACCACAAAGGATTCTCACCATCTCAAGGATTCTCACCATCTCACTGGATTCTCACCACCTCAAGGATTCTCACCATCTCAAGGATTCACCACCTCAAGGATTCTCACCATCTCACGGATTCTCACCATCTCCACGGATTCTCACCATCTCACGGATTCTCACCATCTCAAGGATTCTCACCATCTCAAGGATTCTCACCACCTCAAGGATTCTCACCACCTCAAGGATTCTCACCATCTCAAGGATTCTCACCATCTCAAGGATTCTCACTCAATCTCAAGGATTCTCACCATCTCAAGGATTCTCACCATCTCAAGGATTCTCACCACTTGGGATTCTCACCACTTCAAGGATTCTCACCATCTCAAGGATTCTCACCACTTCAAGGATTCTCACCACTTCAAGGATTCTCACCATCTCAAGGATTCTCACCACTATGATTCACTTCAAGGATTCTCACCACTTCCGTGATTCTCACCATCTCAAGGATTCTCACCATCAGCAATACGTAACCGGAAACGGAAGCAATACTGA